ATATTAATATCTTCTTTGTTTGCTTATTCTAATAATAACTCAAGTTTAGTAAAATTATTATTAATTTTATTAATATTTTAAAAAGTAAAAAATTACAATTATTATAGTCTTTTTACTAAAAGTAAATTATTATTAAAATACACAATCAAAACCAAAATACCCTCATTCCAGCCACTGCACATAGATGGAAATACTGATGCAAAAACATTGTTTGAAGAATAGCAGTAAAAAACATCATTGCTATTTAAATAAAGGAATTCAAAATATATACAAATAAGTCAAATAATCAATTTAAATAATAATTAATAAATACACAATATTCATGATATTCACCAGCAATAGAATAACCCCATAGCGCAGAAGGTTTTTCCTCGTCACTTTGTCTTTTTACAAATATAATAAGTTGCTTCAATAATTGAGGTTGTACAAAATTTAAGGCATCCTGAATAGCTTTGAAGAACTTTACATGCATTTTGCATTTCAAAATTAAAAATGAATGCTACATCGAACTTTGAATCAAAATATTTGTATTAACAAAACCTACAGCTGCAAAAGCAAATGGACCACCGAATGTAAAAACAAGTGCTTTAAACAGAGATGGACTATAAATAAATTTATAAGATATCAATAATGTAAAATAATTTGCAATTACAAAGAAAAAAAATAGGTGCATTACTTTTTTTTTGATAGCTCTTTTTTCCAAGCAGATTCAAAATCAGCAGAAATCTTTTTTGAATTATCTTCAGAATTTAAATTCCTATGAAAATAAAGCATGTAAATCAATGTGCCACAAAAAAAAAAAAAGTACTGTAAGAAATAATATCCATCAAGGATAACTAGTACCATAAATCAACAAGAGTCAAATATTTTTTATGACCCAATTTCATAAGTGGTGTCATCCAATAAAAAGTCAATCGCGAGAAAATATTAGCACTTTCTTCTGGCGAATTTTTCTATGAGAAGAGTTAATAAATATTTTATATATGTTTCAAATTTTCTTCTTAAAAAATAATGATAATGTAACATGATAAAATAATTACAGAATCATCGTCAATAAGTTCATATTCAGTTTTTGGTTTAGGAAGTAATTCTAGCACAAATACAAACAAGGCCAATAAAATTGACGCTAAAAAAGCGTAAAATCGCAAAGGAAAAGTAGCATAGTAATCTTTTTTGATCCATGTACGCAATTTGATAATGTCAATTACAATATAGAAAAGCCAATAAAGCAGAAGGACGGAAGATCCAGAATAGCTGTTAATATAGGCCGTTTTTTGAAGGAACATAGCGAATATCTGTAAATGTATTCATGATAAGTAGTCTATTACGTATATTCACTTATAAAAGTCTCAATGATTACTTGCCACTGCGATTACGTTCACCATAGCTGAAATAACAAACAAGTCCATTATTTGCCATTTACTATCCTCTAAAGTTAACTCTAAAACGACTATACTGAGGATAATCAGGAATGATAGGGTAATCTGAGGAAACCACAAAATATAAATTCATTAAATGAAATACCAATACAGTATAATGATAAATATAGTAAATTGATGAAAATATAACAAGTACCCTCTCTATTAAATAGTGCCAATTCCGTAATCCATGATTTGGAATAACAGCAGACCTTTTAAGAAGATGATGAAGTTCGAGAGAACCAAAGACTAACATCAAAGTATTTATTGGTATTATAAAGGCCCTTTATAAAGCCCAAGACATCAAGGTTAACCTTAAATAACTAGTTATATAAAAAAGCAAATTGACGAAAAATGAAATACCCTTCTGTGAAACATGAAGCAAGATCGGGATCAGTCACATTCGACCTCCAAGGACCCTGAATTTGATAGAATTAGCATTATTTCTTATTGTATGCATAAATAAAGAAAATATAATAATTTTACCCAGCCGTCCGGATCATGGCAAAGTAAATATTCATTAGACATAATGAATCAAAACCCAAATCTGACACACGCGATATTTATATAATTAAGTAATCGTTTTGATTTTTTTTTTTTTTTTTTTTTTTTTTTTTTTTTTTTTTTTTTTTAAAAAATATATTTTTATTTTTTAATTTTTATAAAAAAAAAGAATTTTTTTTTTTTTTTGTTTGAAAGCTAGCGTTTTGGCATGGTA